CTTTTATAACATTTTTATAATTTGCTGATATAAAAAATATTGTTGCTTAGATTGGAATATTGCTAATTTACGTTCTCAAATTTTTAAATCTTATACCTAATAGTAATATAATAACTTTCACTGAGTAATTACTTTTATTATAGTATGTTGACATAAACAGTCGACTTTTTATTTTAAATTTTATGCCAATTTTCTACATTCTTAAGCATTTTATCTAACAGAAATCTGATTTTTTTGTAATAAAACTCTATGATAAAGTAAGAGTACATTTATATATAAAAATTTGACTACATGGCAAGCACTTAGATACTGATTTCAATGTCTTAAATGTTATTATTATAAAGTTTAGATATATTCTTATTAAGTTAGATATACTTTTATTCTCTTATAAAGTTTAGATGTACAGAACGAAGGCACACTTTGTGCTTACAACTCAGTCAACCACTTGTGCAAGATAACTTATGATAACAATCAAGTTCAAATGTAAAATTTAAATTCAAATAAATCAATTTAATGCAAAGTTGGTCAAAAAACTTAAATGGCATGGAATTCAAGTATCACCAATTACAATGCAGACTGAAGACAAAAATCTTATCTTATCTAGCACCTATAACATGGCCTCGAAGGCCAAAACATGGTTTGTTTTTTCAAACTAAAAACTTCATTTAGATACTGTGGGAAAATGGATGGATGAAATTGATAGTAAAGATCCAAGCATAAATAACTCTGGTTACAAAATAAAGAATGTTACATTATACTTGTCCCTGATTAATATTCACTACATGAAATAGTGTAATGCATTTTGTTTGCATCATATACAAATTATTTATTTATTTAAATGCTGTCCAAAACTGAACAGGATTTTGCAACATATTGACCATATTTTCGACCTTAGATGCAACACTTCTTCACTCAGAAGTAAGATTTTAGATTAAGAAATAAAAAAAAGACTATGATAGAAAATAAATATATATGCTGGCCAAGAAGGATGCCTTCATAAAGTACTTTTTAAGAGAAACTGGCTCAGATTCACATTACATGTACGGAAAACCACAAAAACTCCCATATAGCCAGCCTGAACTACCACTGTTCAGTGGCTTATCACTCCACCACTAGTGGATTCCAATGACTGTTCGAATTTTTCACAGAAATCACCATGATGATTGTTGTATTATTACCATTGGTACAAAATTTACTCATTATGATAATTTAATTTTAGCTTTTAAATTATAACCATAAATTACTTGTAATAAATTGAGTGATTAAAAAATACACACTTCTTAATATTTTTACCATTTACAAAATTTAATCATAAAAAGTATTTCTAACGCTGCTACAAAACTTGCTCATTATAATTTAATTTGATTTCCTTCACTTTGAATATTTTTTATTTTCTTTTAATAACAGAATCTAAGAACTAAAGTAACATATCCTAGTTGAAAAGGCATTATGAACCTTTGTAAATTTCATTATTCATAACTAAAATAAACCTTTTGTAAATTTAAAATATTAGCTAAGTCTAATATATATAAATATTAACTAACTACTTAAATATTAATGTTAATACATTAATATTATATTTTGTAATTTAAAATATTAACCTTTTGTAAATTTCATTACTCAAACATAATCACTCATAAATTCATTTACAGTAGTGTTTCAAGAATTTATCATAGCAGTACTAGAAATGTTGAAAATTAGAGAAAGACTGTTTATTCTGATTAAGAGCTTATTTTTTAGGATTGTTATTTAGTCTAGATCGGGTTTCGTTGACAATCCGCCATTTCTTTCCGATCTTCAAAGCCGGGTATACATTGGTGACCGAAGTTTGTTGCCAAATCAAAAAATCGCCAAAAGGACCAATACTAAAGCTGTTCCGTGTCTTTTTTTGTGTGCGTGCCTGCACACGTTGGAAAGCGGGATTTAGGCGACATCGTTTGCAGTAGTAAAATGCCCATCTTCCAAATTCTTCGCATTGCGATTTTCTTTTTCCTCAAGTGACAAGAGCAAAAATAGTTCGGAATAAAAATAAACATTAGAATTTATTTTCAAAAAAGAAACTCTTTGAAGTGGATGTTTTATGTTAATCTTTTACCCCTAATAAACTTGCTGAAACATAGAGGACGCTACATGGTTATCATATGCTTCATTCCTGTTCTCTTGTTAATAAATTTATTTTAAGAAGTTTTTTCTTTATACTGTTAATAAATTCGCCCTTAATCAACGAACGTATATTTACAAGTAATGTTTTCGAAAATGAGAACAAACATAAACAATGTGAGAGAGATTATTCAGCAGTCAAAAAATTTTATCTCCGTGCAGTCGACGAGTTAGATATTAAACACATAACAGAAAGTTATTTGAGGCAGAGCATTGGGGACTGAAAACTAGGGTTGAACATTAAACATGATTTGATGAAAATGAGCACTAGGTGGCGCGCTTCACCTTCTGTACGTTCGCCTGCTGATATATTGTTTACATAAAGCGTGGCTTTTTATGAAGCGGAACGTGTTTTCGTACATTATTAGAATATGGTCTATTGCTGTATTCCGAACTGCACTTCAGAGCATGGAAAAACCAAAAATGTATCTTTCCATGAATTTCCGTGTGAAGAAACTCTAAGAGAAAGATGGATTAAGAGTATATCAAGGAAAGGTAATAGGATTTCGGAGTGAAACTAGTTAAAAGATTTTAGTGTCGATATAAATATGTATGTTTATATATATTTGTCATGTCTTCTGTTAAAAGAATGTTCTAAGGCAAATCGAAAATAATTTTAATAAGTCATTTTTAGATTTTCTGATCCCTGCAAGATCATTATGGTATGTAGTAGGTTAACGGAGTGGGAAATGAAATTTAAAAAATTGCGGGCTTTTCCAAATAGTAACTGCTATATACATTTGAAGTATATTTTAAGCTTGTATGCTCATATGAATGTTGTCATCAGTATTTTTCAGTGTTTTCAAGTACTATAATTTTTTAAAAGATATATGTTGGCATGTATTTAAGAGTAATCTATAAAATTATGATTAGGACATTTCCTGAGAAATTAATACCACTTTAAAGAAAGCTAGCTACTTTACCCCTGCATGACAAATGGCCTTTTTTTTTTAAAAAAAAAACGTAATTGGAGTACATCATGAAACAGAGAAAATTAAATGAATGAAATACTGAAAAATAATTCATACATCATCTGGTGTAAATCAGTTGTAAAAATGATGTGTGAATGACTGGTAATGCTTCTGTAATCACGTGAGTATATTTATCATAAGAGGGTATTTTCCTTAACACAATTTAACAATTTAGCTAACAAATTTGTATGGGTTTCATTTGTTTGGAAAACTGTATCATGATGTTTTTCATGTGCACAGCTGAAAATTTGGTTTGAATGTTTTTTTTTATATGAATTTAGATATATAATCTTGCATTTTGACAGTGAGCACATGTGATGCAGAATTATAAACGTAGAAATTAAGTGACATATTTACAAGCATTATCGACAATTGATTAAATTGGCAGCAGAATTAAAAGATTACAGTTTATTTCATATATTTATTTTAATGTCTATTATTATAGTCTATTTTACAAGAAATTCTTTGTTATAATTTATTATTCTTGATTTTGAATTTTTTGTACTTATTTATTCTTCATATCACTGAATCATACCTTCCCTTCTATGTGACTGAGAAGTATTTTTTAGAATTCAACTATTCTGTTTTATACTTCAGTTCATAATCAGTGACACTCATTTAGAGGTAAAGCATTATGCTTATATAAAATTTTAAAAATTTGATATTTAACTTAAGTGTGTTTGAAACATAAAAACAATCTATTATTAAAGAAAGTAATTAACATTATTGTTGAAGTACATTTTTGTTATTTCCAAAGTGATCATATACTCTATAACTGTAGACTAATGAGTTTAAAGAAAGAAACTGAGGCTAGATTAGGTTAAGTTAGGGTGTGAGGGCTATCTCTCCAGGCAGAGGGAGGTCTTGAAGGACTTTCTAAGGGAAACTGACTCATATTCACATTATACACGAAAAGAGTATTAATTTCCTCTAGGAAACAAAAAATACCTGGCATATTAAAAAAACCACAAAAATTATTTTTTTCTCAGTCTTTAAAAACATGTTTACTATGACTTTCATGTTGACCATGAATTATATATAACATGAGTAATCCTTACGATGTTTCATATTATTTGGCACCTTTTGTTTAAAACGAAAAAGCTAATTCTTCACATTTTCCTAAAATATTCTTCTGTTATTCGGATCGTATTCAGAAATGCAATGTACTTAATGCACATGTGTATGTGTATATGTGTGTGTACATTACACATGCATACATGAACACATCCGTCCATACATACGTTTCTGAATCTGGTCTCGAAAACAGAAGAGTACACATAATCACTCAATCATAACTAAAAAAAAATTAGTACACCTTTAATATGCGAGTTTTTTTTTTTTTTTTTTTTTTTTTTTAGGTTTTTAAATGTGATTTGATGTACTTAACTACCTATAATATCTGATTTTTCATCTTTGTAATTTGAACTCTCAGTTGTTGTAGATCTGTAACTAACATGCCCTAAATCGTTCAACATTTTCTTGAAAATTAATGGCAGTACCACATTTATAATTATTACTCAGTTTTTATATTATAAGTGGCTGAAAATTGTAGTTAACGTAAGTTTTTGATTGAATTAAATGCCTAGTCTGATGAATTGAAGCTAATTTCATGCATTATAGCATGATAAAAAATATGGCTTTTTAGTAGCACTTTAGATTCCTCAACTCATCATTTATATTGATTATAATAAAACTAAGCTATTGCAGGTTATTTATAATATGTGTGTAAAATAAGCAGCAAACTCATTCTGTTGTTCAAAATAGCAGTTCAGTTTGTTTTCCCCTGTCTGTCTGATTTTCTCGAGCAACATTTTTAGTAGATTATTTTTATTTTTTCTCTCATTTATTCATTGTACTTATTTTTTGTAGATTCATCTGGTAAATTGTGGAGACCTGCTGACAGATCTGTTGTCTGTAGTAGACATTTTGAGAAATCTGCTTTCAAAGAAGGATACAAAAAAAGGATCTTAAAAAAGGACTCTACACCAACAGTATTTGAGGATTATCCTAAGTGCATTGTGCAGAGCTCACAGCCTCAGAGAGGACAGTTTAAAAAAATGAAATTGTCAGAAGAAATAGGTATTCAGAAAAATGATACTAACAATTGTTATATTGTGAAAGATTCACTTCAGATGCTGGCTGAAGTTTGTAGTGCTGTCGATATGAGACAAAAGACCCATTCTGGCAGTAAAAATATTTTAACCAAACAAGCGAGTAGAAATAAAGTTTTAAAAACAGATGAGTCTTTAACATCAGAAAAATTAGTTCCATGTAAATTTTCCTGTCTACCTGATCGTGTAAAACTACTGCAAGAATCACTGCGTGTATATAAATTAAGAATTAAAGCTATAAAGCAAGAAAATGAAGTTATGAGAAAATTAATTTTAAAAAGTACAGTTGGTGGTAATTAAAATGTAATGATGAGAGCTATAAGATAAAAGCAGTTTAATTGGAATAGTTAATAACTTTCGTGAAAGAAAAGTACTTAAATGATTGGATATTATACTTAGCCACAAATTAAGGATTCCTGGATAATGCTCAGAATGAATTAATTTATTATTCCCCTATACAGAGTGGTATAACTGGAACTCTTGGGCCTCTGTTCAAAAAAGGTTTCTGCCTCTGCTTCCCAAATTATTATGCTCCGAAAAATTCAAGGGTACTGGCAGCGAACTTTTCGATTAATGATGGCCAAATGAACGGTTTTGTGGCATAAGCATATTTTTGAGCATCAAAAGTAGCATCAAGTAGACACAAACAGAATCTTTTAGCTAGAAAAATTATGAAGCAGCCATTTTGTAATATTCATATTCATTTCCTAATCAATTTTTTTTTTAAATCCTCACAAAATAAAAATTTACATACAAGAAATATTTGTTGCAAGCCTCATATATGAGCTATCATTTGAAAAAAAAAAATGTACTGTAATGTCTTGAATCATGCTTTTTATACTCTCAGATAAATATCTCATGCAAAAATATTCACATAATGTTTACTTATGATGGAAAGCATTATAATGAAATCATATTTTTTAAAAATAGCATCATAGAAAGTTTTTCTTCCACCCCCTATCACAGCTCTGTTAATATTTGTTTCATGTAGCATAACTGTTTTATACCTTGAATTTTCGGAAATTAATTCTCAAGTAGTAAATCTGTTATAACTGCTTAGATTAAAATTGTTTGAAAATTGTTTTGGGTGTTAAATTGATATTTAAATGTGAAAATCTTTTTTTTGTGTGTGTGAGGGGAGAGAGGAGTACATGTGTTGTTTTTAATTAGGAAGAATGAGTTAATGGATTTGAAGCTTTGTGTCTGAGTTGTTTGGCTCTTCTTTCTGGGATTTTGTTTTGTTATCTTAATTTTGATACAGTACAAAGTCCGAAATCTGGATGCCCATTATCCAGAATGATCTAAAATCTGGACCTGAAAGCTACAAACATTTTGTTTTTAGTATTCTTTACGTATGAGCATTTGATTTTTCCTTCCATAATAAAATATGTGGAGATTTTCACTTAAAAATTCCGATTCTTAATTTTACTTAGGCACTAAATAAAATACCGCGTTATGGAAAAACATTAATATAAGCATAAATTTGTGAGATTAATAATTTGGCTCCGTAGCTGAGTGTCTGCTTGGCATTCATTTCAAACCGAAACATTCACCTATTTTATATCCCTGATGCCGCTAACTGGCGAGTCATTATTTATTATATTTTGTTTCATCACTGCATATTTATTAATACATGACAGATTCAGTAATAACTCATGCAGTGATGTCTTAACTTTTTTTTATATTAGTAATTGAATAACAAGAATATAGCAACCTTTTATGCTAACATTATGCTTGGGCGATGATTATAGATTTTTAAATGCTCTAAAAAATGTTGATAAGGAAAAATTTAACAAATTTTTCTTTTCCATATGTTAAAAATAGATTTTGTTAATGAAACACATAGGCCAAAGATTACATTTAGTGCTATTTTAATTAAGAATAACTGATATCACCATAAAACCAGAAGCATCGGCACCAACAGCAGAATTTTAGGGAATAAAAATTTTTTGGAATTTGGGGCAGCACCCAGTGGCAAAATTAAGGAATGAGAAGTTTTTTTTATCAAACTTTTCGTAATCAGAAAACATGCATGACCTCCAGCATTTAAAGGAATAACGATTTTCTCCGTTATATATCGTGCAAATAAAAGAGCATGGATGACACAAGCATTAATCAATGATTGGTTTGAAAATCATTTTATACTCGAGGCTTGGCAACATTTGAATTCGGTTGGTTTACCCGATGACTCAAAAATAGTCCTGATTGTAGACAACTGTTCAGCTCATACTTCACTTAAATTTTTAGTGAAAGATAATGTATCTGTATTATTCTTCCCTCCAAATTGTACGTCAGTAATTCAGTTTATGGATATTGAATTAGTGCACGTCCTGAAATACAGATATAAAGTAGCATTTTTAAAATCTATGTTGAATTTCTTAACAGTGCAAGCACATTCAAGAATTTAAAAAATATTTTAGGATAAAATCTGCTGTGTGGAGCATCGCAAGATTGTGGAAGGATGCGTCTCCAGATATGTTAAAAAATGTTTGGCATAATTTATGGCCAACTAACATATTTCATGGCAAGGATGATGTAGTTATTAGCCACGAATTTGAAGGTTTTTGCATATTGCAAACTAAAGGTGAAATTTTCCAGTTATTGGATTTTGTAAAGAAATGTGGAGAAGCGGAAATAAATGAAGATAATATAACAGAAGTTTTTCATTGAGATGACAATGCCCCAATTATCAATAAATTAGCAGAAGGCGAAATCAGTAGTATGGTTCTAGATCCAAAAAATACTGCACAAGAAAAGCAATTTAAACAACTTACATTGAAAAAAATGTTTAATGATATCATAAATGCTTCATTATTTCATAGATCACAATTTCATATTTTTAATTTTATAATTTCTACATACCATCTTACAAGTTTTAAACTGATGATCTAATATCTGGAAAAATCTGGAATCAGTAAAATCCCAACGAGTCCAGATCTTGGACTTTGTACTGTATATTCTTAAAAATATTGCTGTTGTTAAATACTCACCTTGCTTTCCTCTTGCTCTGCTAGCATGCATCATTTGCCACTCTGATTTGTCCATTGTCTAAAGATAGCTATATAAAACTGAGGTTATTGAAAACGAAAAAATTTCGATTGGCAAGTTAGTCGGTATTTTCGAAACAGCAATTGCAGGACTTTAACAGTGGAACTTTGTAACTGAATAAGTTATGTCTGTTTATAGAATTGAAGCGAAAGTATTAGCGCAAAAAACAAAGCAACTTACATTGAAAGAAATGTTTAATAAAGTAAACAAATAAATATTAAGCTATTTTTTTATATTTGGTTATTTTTTAGATCATAATTGCTCTTTATTTCATAAATTACAATTTCATATTTTTAATTATATAATTTCTGCATGCCATCTTACCAGATTTAAATTGATGATCTAATACCTGCAAAAATCTCAAATCCGGAATCGCCAAAGTCTCGATGAGGCCGGATTTCGGATTTTGTACTGCAGTAGTTATTGGCAAATAAATATAATAATTTGGAAACTTTCAGACCAAAAGACAGATAGGCCAGTTTGTATATATGCAAAAAGCAATTACACTAATAGTATAGCTTTATATACTCAACCTGCAAACCTGAATTAGTCAGTAATTTATAAAAGCATAAATGTGCTACCTTCCAAAAGCTAAGAAACAAATAAACTTCAGGTTTAACTCATAAATGTATAAGATAAAAAAAAAATCTAGTGTAAATAATTCCAAATTTAATATATATTTTAGTGATTGTAAACTTAGTACTTATATTGTAAGATATAATTATACAAGTTTTTTTTAAGAGAATCATGTAACTGATTAAAAAAAAAGCTACATTGGTCCTTTTTCAATTCGGGGAAGAAACATAAAACTTATTTGCTGCTTATGTAGATACAAGCTTGATACTTGTCCATGCTATGCTGTTAGTTCAGTTGCAGGTTGTCAGTCAGTTCACTTGAATTAAAGCTCATCCATGCCTTCAATTTTCTTTTCAGGGCAGTCAAAGTTCTTGCATGGAGGGACAATGTAATTACGTATTTGTTGGATGGTCCAGTATGTGCTTAATCAAACTAAAGTTCTGTGATTGAGCTGGGCTTACTTGTATATTGAAATACATGGACATAAATGCATTTGTTGATTAAAGATGTATGCATTCTAGCATTATCATTGATTAAATCAAATGGTCACCTGCAATGGCATCAAATGGTTTTAAATGATCATGAAGGATGTATGTCTTATTAGGGATACACCTACCAGCATTTGGAGGTCGGTGTATATGTCCAATATATCTGCTATCAAACCATAGTAGTACAGCTTCTTCTGTAAGAGTCTCTTTTATATTTTTCATATAAATAAAAAATGTGGACTCTGTACACTTTTGATATTGTTTATGATAATATACATCTTGGTGGAATCATTTCAGAATTTTGGAATGATCATGTTTCTAACATGATAGAGGAGAGTGATTTTCCTAGACGACCATTTTGTGGAGAGTGATTCAACTCTGCATGCTGAGGGCTTAGATGAACAGAACATTGTGTCTCTTGATACAGGTATGATGGAATATAATATTTAATTCAAATTAGGATGGAGGTACATTTTACTCTTGATGAGGCTGAAGAATTTTATCAGATAGAAATTAGCATTGAGCATGGCTTCATCCTAAGGAAAAACTGTATAGGTGCCTGTTGTTTGCAGATTTTCTGTGATACAGATTAACTATGTATTCTGCTTGAGTATTCATAAATCGAAGAATGGAATATTAGTATAATTATCACAAGTGCAACTTATGATATTCCCCATGAAGAAAATTATCATACCAAGATTATAACTGCTGACATAAACAGTTGGAACTGGACTGCATAAGTCAGTCATAAAAGCTTTTAAGTTACAAGATGTAGAATCTTTCTTTTGGAGTGACTCGATAGAAATTCTTACTTATATCTGTCATGATGAGCAATGAAAAGTTTTTATTAGTACAGACTAGGTGGAATACGAAAACTGACTTCCTCAAATCTATGGAATCGCATGCTAGATGGTCAAAATCCAGCTGATTTAACATGTTGAGGATGTTTAGCAAAACAGATGCTAAAATACCTGTGGCGGGAGAATCCAAAATTTAAAAAAATGCCAAATTTTGGTGCAAATCTGACAATCAAGCAAATAAAGAAAAGTCAGTAAAGAAGAACAAATGATTTAAATTTCCATTGATGAGTGTTCAACTAAAAAAAATAAATTAGTATTGTAACCTTGTATTGAAATACTTTCTTGTAACTGGATTAGATTCTATGTTTTAAGAAAAATAGTCGAATTCCAAAAAATCAATGTATACGTAGTGCATATATTTGTCTTGTGAGGAATATATGGAGCTAAATTTAAAATAGATGGTTAATTCAAAAGGAGTCATTCTGTGCAATGGATGCTCTAAGCTGACAAGTTAACACTTGTATGTTGATAAAGATATCATTTTACAATTCAGAATGACGATATGAATGCTTTTCTGTATTTAGTACTTTTCCTTAATCATAATCATCCTGTTGTTTTCAGATTGATTCCCAGTGGGCAGTTGAAATTATTTCATGGTGGTACTGAGATGAGAGCAGTTCATTCAGAACATAATTGGATTTTAGATTGTTGTCATGCCACCCAATCAGTCTTGATCAATACTTGAGCTGTAAATGGTATAAAATATAAAATATGGTAGCTTTACCAACTGCTGTGATTGAAGATCTGTATACAGATAATGTTAAAATTTTGAATAACAGGTGTGCATTTTGCTGGTCTCTTTTTATGTCACAGGCCACAGAAAAGCAACTGCAGAAGAAAACATCAATATGTCATTTTACATTTGAAGTATATAGAGCAAAATATCTTGAACTGATTGTATCATCATCAGAATGAAGGAGATGGCCTATATTTGTAGTGATAACTGTAATTTTGTTAGAGCAATAAATCAGGGCTTTAAAAAAGATTGATCAGAAGGAAATTGAAGTACTGCAAAAATGTGAATCACTTTTAAGATGTGTTGGAAGTTCATTCCTTCTTTTCACTATAATAAGGCATAAGGGTGGGAGAGAGAATGGTAAGTGTTTTTAA